GTCTGAAAGTAATTTACTTTCATTTTGTATAACATCTGATTGTTGTCGATCTTACAAGCCTATATCCGTTTGAGTTGTCGATATACTATCTCGACTCTAGATTTTTGTATTGAAAGCGAAATCCTCAACTTGAGTAAAATCAATCTAATGTTTCAAGGTCGAAGTGAGAGCTATCGAATCCATAGTCTTGACTGCTTAATCGGGACTGCTTTTTCAACACGTAGATTTAAACTATATATAAATTGCCTCGAGATGATAGATCTTTATGTTCGAAAGCAATAATAAGTACTTCAACAGATCAACTTTTATAGTGCAAATTAACATATTTAATGATCGACTTGGAACTTTAACAACTATATACTACTGTGTATACTATTATAGAGCGTGTCTTTAAATCTCAATTAGTTCTCCTCTTTTCTTTTCATTGAATTACTAAGTTCAGACGAGACACTTATTTCCAGACTACCATTCCGAGTATAAAGAAGTCTCAAGATAAGAAAATCATACGTTTTAGATATACAGCGATGACAAAGAGTAAAAAAAAAGCTCAGTTCCGTTAGACAGAACTTTCTGTGTGAAGACTCAATGTAATACACTCCTCGCGGTCTCAATATGTATATCAAATTTCAATATTCTTTTGTTTTTCGTCCTATATTCACTAGTAACCTGTTATCTGCCTTCACTTCTCTAACTTATTTGATTCAAGTGGGAACCAGACGAATATTTTACTTCTTGGTGGAGTCAATCAAGTCTAAGAAAGAAAAAACACACACAACTTGTTGATCGTCATTTGTTCGCTCAAAGCATTGATTTATTTTATCGAATAATATGATGTTGACCCTTGTAGTCTCCAATTTAGAAGATGCATTTTGAGAGTAGATGGGGACTATAATGTAGTATGATTCTCTCCTTAAAAATCTGGAACTAGTATCCTTGGGTTGATGCTATTTTAGAATGCAATTTTCTAGAATTTGAACTCGAAAGTTAAGGGAGCAATTCACAGGTCAATATTCAAAATCTAGTGATACGAGATCTTACATTAGGAGAATAGCATTATGATGTGTCTGCTTGAGGTTTATAGTATTGATTCATTCTTGATAGTTACTCGTTTATGAACGTGGTGGTAGTAGTTGAGCAGAGAAATCGAACTTGGTACTTAGATCGATAAGCACAAAAACGGGTCTTGATTTTATGTAGCGCATCTATCACAGATGCAAGATATTTCTTTCCGTATCATCATCATCAATAATCAGTTTAATACCCCAAAAGACAAGGGGAGTGCTAGCAAAAGACAACTGTCTCCTAATACTCTTCACTCACACTCCGCAACGCTCCCGGAGGCCTTGCGGACTCTTGGAGAAGTATTCTGGAACCCGAGTGCTCCGGTCGTCTCACATTTTCTAAAGTCTTAAAAGCAATAATAGTATGATGTGTATCAGTACTACCCTACTATCTCGGACGAATCTCCGCGCGGGTCAATTGTGTTCATCAAGCGAAACTCCGCGCGGAGTCAACCTTATTCTACCCTCTCCGTGGCTCCACTGAAGGAGTTGCGTGGTGATAAAACTCCGGAATCTGAAGGGGCTGAGTATCGGGGTTTCGGAACCGAACTGATTGGTTCATGTATTAAATTAGTACAGTATGAATACATCACAATTTGATCAACTTGTGGTCTGTGGCCCTTACAATTTCATGCTCTTTGAAATGGATGCAAGAGAGAAGTGATATATGATGTCAGTCAGCCTTGATCAAAGAAGATGTAGACTTGAATGCAAGCGAACCTGAATCACAGTTTCAGTGATGATATCGAGATCTTCCTTGTTTGGGGATTTTTGGTGGAGAGAAATGGATGAATGGAAGGGAAGCACGTACCGAGGTTGAATGACGACTTTGTGGGAATGAAATTGAGGGGTTTGAGAGATTTGACTGCATAGGGTTTCAATTCAGGGTCTTGGCTAGGATGCAAGGAGGGTCTATGAGGAAAATTATATCCAATCGACGTATTTAGAGCTATGGGCTTAGCAACTAAAACATCCCTCTCGCCAAATTTATCATAGCGGGCAATGAATGTAGTAGGAATAGTTTCCTATGAGCAAAGAGGGCATCGATCTTCTGTGAATTACTTTTGTCCTGAATAGGGATGAATTCATGTTGAGTTCTATGCCGGAGAAGGAATCATCTCTCTTGCCCTTTTTGTCGCCACTACATCCAAATAAGCTTTACTTCAAATTACTGGTCTGTACGGAGTAGCGAGAATTCTCTCTCTTGGTTCAATATGTCTTGCTGCCCGTACACGAAATTTCATTTACGCTATTTATCCTACTGGTTTACCTGCTGTACAGAATTTCTACAGGCATAAGGAAATTGGCACACAACAAGCTTATAAGCAAGATGCAGTACTACTCCAATATGAGAATGATACTTATGGTTCGAGTCAGTATTCGGTCTTGGATATCACCAGTGTTGGGTCACGATACAAAGTACACAACGTATATTGTTAACTTACAATGAAACACGGTACAGTGATAGCAGAGTACTGAGCGTGAAGTCATGGTAGACCAGTAATGTGTTTTGATAATTCGCAAATTGTGGCTGATCTAGATTAGTTACAGATTCACATCTTGCAGCTCTTCATTGCTCAACCCCATTCCCCGTATGTCTTACTTCCCCAGAACTCCAGACTTCTGATTCTCCATCCATATGCATCCGGCATTTCCAGAAAATTCTTCATGCCCAAACCACTGTTCTCGATGAAATCCCCAACGCACATATTACCAAACTACGGTACTACCACTTTGTCAATAATTCATGAACAATATACAGTACCACGTATCTCTATCTCCACCCATTTGCACTGCACCCGTCGCTCACGTGCAGGAGCGTAATCGTGCTCGGTGAGCCACGTAACCAGGCGTGAACTATGTGCAGCCACGTAGGACCCCACATGTTCATCTATTCATTTCTAACCAAACTCGTGTTTATTGTGAGATATGAATCCCTTGATTCGTCTCTCCGCATTCAATATTTGAATGCGAGGAAATGAAAAAAATTTATGATATTATGGGCTTTTACAAGTTTGAGAAGGGAGTTGGGTTACGATGTTGATATGCTATGTGAGCCCCACTATGTATGTACCCTAGTCGTACATATGCGACTAGACGCATTCTGCAATGTTATGTTGTATTGGGAAGCAATAGTCATTTTATTGCTACCTGCAATGAATAAAAAGTGTGTTTTGGGAAGCCTGGAAGTTGATAGTACCCACTTGATATAGTGAGATGAGATGGTCTAGATGATACGATTTGATAAATTCTACATGAAAAATATGCACGTCGTACTTTTGCATTAGAGCAGGAAGCTGGATTGTGTAGGTATTAGTATAAGTCCGTAAAGATTTGAAACAAACTTACTATCTAGTAAGGTCAAGATATGCGGCCTACAATACCCTCCCCCCCCTTCTTCTGAAATTAAATCGGCTAGCATGAATCCGCTGCGTCTAGCTATTGCACCCTGCATACATAAAATATCGAGAGACACAGAGTCCCTTAATTCTCCACATACTCGTGCGGCTAGAGATTGATGAGTATGCAACTCCGAAGCTAGATGCACATATCACACAATAGTAAACTACAAGAGGACTAACCTGACATACTTAGTGGCGAAGTAGCATACTCTCTGGCAGCATGAGTGCCAGTCGTAAACCGTCGATCATCCGGGAAGATAAGTAGACTCAGCTGCATGCATTGAAGTAGGCAGGTGACTCTAGCATACAACACTTGCATATATGTAGATCCCAAGAAAGATCCTGACCCTGACGTGTTTATAAGCCTCAATGAACCTTCCTATGTAGGAATCTGACCTAAGCTTTTTTGCCTCAAGTCTGCTCAGCTAAAACGATAACACTCAGTCGGTTCGGTTCCAAGAATGAGACATTAGCTATGCGGGATGTAAATCTGCCTTTGATCTCACGGGCCCGTTGGTATGTGTAATGGCTAAAGACTGCCGCTGTCGATCCGTATGTTGTTTTAACCTGAATCTTTTGCACTTGTATCACTGCATCCGTATCACGGGGACATGCAATATCAACCAATAACTCGCTGGATGTATTGCTTACTCGGACTCGCTCCTGGAGAAATAGCATGGCCTTTCGCAAGAAATGAACATGCATAACATTATCTTTGCCAGGGAGTGCCGGAGTAGATCATCGGATTGAATCAAGCATCTGAGGGAGACTGATGATACCTGAAAAATAAGATAGTAATTTCTACAGAGACCACCGGTAGGTGAAGGGATCGACAGGCCACTACAAGAACGGACTTAGAGATATCTCTCGATATGTTGATTGTTATATCTTAGAAATTGTTACAATGTTTCATTAGAGATTGAACAATCAAAATATGAATACTGAAATCAAACAATTGAAGATTGAATTTGATAGTCGAATGTTGAGAAGTGTCCCGTCAGACCATGCACCCACTGGACCTCAGCATGCGACAAATTCTAGAATTCGTATAACATAAGAATAATATATACATATAGGTAAGCGTAGCATTGGCTATAGATAGAATTAATAATTTTTGAAATTTCTACTAATACTACTATATACCTACGTATATACGGTAATGAGAGAATCATTCAACCGTCACTTATTTACATGAAAAGGAGAAAACAAAAATTATACACGGTAATGAAAGAATCATTCAACCGCCACTGCTGCTACACAAAAAGGAGAAATGAAAGTTTTTACACGGTAATGAGAAATCATTAAACCGTCGCTGATTGTTAAAAAACCCATACGGCAATGAGAGCAATGAGAGAATCATTCAACCGTCACCCATGTTACACGAAAAAGAAACACACAGTGCATACTATAATAAGAGAATCATCGAAGTTTACAGATGATATAAAAGCCAGAAGCAAGTCGTCCTTGACAATTCTTGGCGAGATCTGCTGCAAGAGAACGGCTTGCCCCCATAGTATTTTGCATCTTAAATCGGAGATCAAGCGGATTCAATAGCATCGTGATTTAGACAATCGTCTTCCTTGGTATGATCGCCGTCGTAGTCAATTTCCTCTTCAAGCGTGTGCTCAATCCCTGCTTGGCTTAAGATAATGTTTTCTTGAATCTCATCTTTTACAGGGGAAGAGCTTGCTTGCTGCCCAGCCTCATTGTTGTCGTCATTGGCAGCGCGGGCGGGATATTTCGCACAGAACCCTCCACAATATGGAAAGCCACAGTCATATTCGCTATCAACCTCCGCTTGGGATCTTCTAGGAAGGAATCCTTGGGAGGGAGTGAAGGCCTGAATGGCAGGGTTAAAGATAGTGGTAGAGGTGTGTGCACCGGAATTCTCGCTGGCCGCTTTGGCGCGATCCCAAACAGCTTTAATGGAAGCGCGGTGGGCTGAGAACCCTCGGGCAGGAGTACGAGAGGTGGCACCGCGATTATGAAGAAGGTAGTGGTTGGCTAAGAGCCTTCGAGCATGAAAAGAAGGGGCGTTAGCGCGGAGTTGATGACCCCCTTGAGAAGTATTAGTATGAGCTCTAAAGTGATACATTGAGCTAGCCCACGGACGCTCTTGAGAAGTATCAGGTGCATCTGCAGATTGAACAGTTAAGCTAGCCATTGAAGACTCTAGCGAAGTACCGGGTGCGACTGCAGATTGAGAAGAAGAGGCCTTGTAAAGATCATCAGTATTGATGTTCAAGCGATTGAAAAGAAACTACAAGATTGATATACTTACGCCAGTTTTGATATTGTAATGCTTCGATGCATTGTTGATGATGATCTCCAGAGGCATTTCGAGTCTTTGGTTCATCGAGTGGTTGTTGGGCGATATGTTATTCGAGTTCGTCATGGTGGATGGTTGTTCTGAATCCAGGGACTTCAGCAATTATGGCAATCAAGATAATTAGCTTTTGATTACTAGTACTTGAAAGATTCTGATATAGAAATAATGTCCTGATACAGTATCAGAAAGTCTATGAAATCTTATGGAAATGATCGTGAATATATATACTCTTCCCCAGTTCAAATGGAAATCCGGGGAAAGTTTGGGCTCAAATTTAGTGGGAAAAATGACGTTACCAGTACCTATTTTTAACCACCTAGCTTCATCCAAATGGGTCTACAAATGTAACTATTTGGCCATGCAAAGGCTTGAAAAATAACGTGAACGCCCTAGACAATCGTAGTTCTCTCCGTAGAACATTTGGGGTGTTTTGAGCAACAATTTGACCCACGGGAAAGTGGTTGTACCTTTGGATCACAAATATCTGAAAGTAAGCTGATTTAGTGGGAGATATGCCACTATCATTCTTGCTCAATTCGGCAGCTGTTGTGGGGATCAATTTTGTAGTGTGAGAACCTGGGGATTGGCTTCTATAAAACATTAAAGTACAAGAAAGTAAAGCCTTCCTACCATAAGATCTGCTGTCATTGATGCGATGATCTTGCCAGAGAAGAAGCCATGATATACATGGGCTACACTTTCCAGCAAAACAATTATACCTTCTGGAATGATTTTAAATTTGTCATTTTTTTGATTGGTGATTGTGGCATAGATAATTCCTGTAAAGCGAGCATCTGAAGATCTAGGTTGTCAAGAATTTGGAATATGTAGAATTGAGTCATAAACTAGTGCAATTAGCTCCAACATTTGGTATTAAATTTCGATAGAGTTGAAACTACACCCCCTCTCAGGTGGCAGGCGGGTCTTTCTTGATATAAGATCAGGTGATTTGGCTGGTGTATGCCTAGGCTTTCCAGTTCTCAGACCAAACAAAACTGAATCTTCTATGTTCAGTGTTGCTCTAGTTTCAAGGTCAGTTGTAAGGGAAGTTGTTCAGTAATTAATTATCATTATAGGAACATATATTTCCATAACTCAAGAATCAAGCCACTGGCTTTACTGCGAAGTTCACAGCTCTAGATCTTTATGCTTATTCAAACAAAGGAACAAGTGAACAGATAAAGAAAGGCTACCTGAAAAGTTACTTGAAAATATCTGTTCTGATGAAATTTACTTTGATAGATATCATTGACTATTGACTGAAGTCATGCACAACTTGCCTTTTAAAGGCTCACACTAAAGATTCCAAAGAGGTAAATCATCAGTTCTCCAGTGGCTTTCAAACTCTTCAAACTTAAACCTCCAATTACACTTTCTTGAGAGATATGTTTCAGGAATCATCCATTCCTACATCAGGCAAAACCCAATCCCCTGCTTCCATAGGATTCCAGTTCTCCATCAAGAAAGTTAGACTTTGAAAATCAGGAAGATGAGAGTTTGAAGGCATACAGAAGCATGAAAAAATATTGATGAACTTTCGCTAACTATAGACTTGAAATGAGAGGTCTAGACTTCTCCTGTGTCTATCCCCGTGTTGAGCGAGAGGATTCCAGAATCATTATTTGTGAATGGTAGATCTGAAGGTCTTCCTGAAGGTCATCTAAGGGACCGTGTGTAGTTAAAATCCGCACCTAAAACTGTAAGGCGAGGCACGTACAGAAAATTTCTTTCCACTAGACAATCGCTGGATTGCCGGACTAGAACTAGAAGCAAATTTTCATGATGACACACTGCAATATGTTGAAATAGACACCAAGCCCATGCCGATCATCAAACGGCGAAGCACTAGCTTGGTCTTCCTGAAAATTTCAGAACTTCAACTGGCCAGAGATTCATGATAGATTGTGAGCGTGAGAACGCGTTCCAGTTGTCTGGATACCGTATGTAGTTCAATTAAACGAATACTTTGACGTGCTTACATTTCAAGACTTCCTATTGGTATATGTTGAATGTGGACTCCGATGACTAATCAAGATCCATGACGCTGATCAATCATGGACCTCGGAAAAATATAATCGTAAATATTTGAACCATAGCAATAGTATCATACAACGACAACAACAATCCTACTGTATACTCCAAATTTTTACTATTGATAGTCCACAATCTTCAATAAAATCAAAGATTCAAATATACCTTTAATCGACGCGTTCAAAGCCACCGCGAATCTCCAATTGAATCCAAACAACCATAACCCCTCCACAACATGGAAAATCCCGTCCTTTCCGGCCTGCGTTGTCTGCGAACCAGAACCCTTCTTCGAAACACCTCTATCTCAAGATGTTCAAACATCCATAGCTCTGCCACCCACGCTGCACAAATTACACGTTCATACTCTACTCCCACGATCAATTCACCCCGCACTCTCGCACGAAGCAGAGCTCCTTGCCCCTCATCATCTTTCGCACGCCTCAGGTTTTACAGCAGTGAATCCTCTCCATCCACAGTCAGAGGTACCGTAGGCGAAGGTGCAGATGGAGCCGCGGCAGACAAACTCGAGGTGCCATCTCATCTCGATGAAGCAGAAAAGAAGATTTGGGGCTTATTATACAACGAACTTGCGCCCACAAAACTGCAGGTGCAGGATATAAGTGGTGGATGTGGAAGTATGTATGGGATTGAGATTGTTAGTGAAAAGTTTAGGGGTTTGAATATGTTAAAGCAACAGAGGTTGGTTAATAAGATACTGGGAGAGGAGATTAAGGGATGGCACGGTGTACAGTTGAGGACTAGCATTCCTTGATTGGAGAAGGGAAATTGAGAGAAGGCATTTGAACGGTTATAGATATATACACAATGCGGCATTTGGCAGGCTTGTTGCATCAAGAAACACGTGTAGGTCGGATCGAAGTGGCCTGGGCATCTGAACATTGGGAGATGGCAGTTCCAGCGTGTACATTATGGATTAAATACGGGGATATCGGAATGCATCAATCAAGGAAGTAATGACTGATTGAAATTGCTTCTAATAGAATGACGCTTAATGATAAATTTCAAGATCATCTTCTCTCATTGTCTGCTGGGAAACTGAGAACATCGGCATTTGTTCCCAGGAGACCAAACGATACTTGATCATTCTTCTCTAAGACATTCCAGGTATTAAACCTCTGATTTGAAGCCTCGGATCCTCAGCATTCATTCAAACTTCCCCTTTACCTTCGTTTTTGATGATTCTGTTGCAAGTCTGCGAGTAATTGCACTGCCGGAAAAGCTTAGGGCCTGCTCACTCCATCCCGATTCCCCGGCCAGATTTACACCACCATTTCACTGACCTCTGGGCCATTCTTGATACTCATCCGATGCTCATTCGGCCTCCTCGCTTAGAACATACTCGTTGCCAAGGGGCATGGCATGAGTGAATACTACAGTGACGGAGCTGGACTGGAACGGCTATGATCTATGTAAGTTGATTACAAAGTAAAGTTATTTAGACCAAATAATGTTGAAAATCATAGTGTTTAAATTCTCCGGGACTACAATCTATAAAGTAACACCGTTCCCTTACATATTGAGTCCAAAGTTTACGAAATTTCTACGCGACACTTTTGCGCATACTTCCCAAACGCAGATGTGAATTGGACATATCCTACTCGAGTGCACTTCCAGTGTTCCGCGGTCGCTCCTTTCACTCTCAATGTCAAGCCAAGTCCAGACATACCGTTCTTTTCCCACAAATCCATATTCCCCGTCTGCAAAAGCGCACAGCATAGTAACATGTCATCCTTTGCCTCTACCGCAACATCGAAAACAATCAATCCAAGTGCATCACCGGTAAGCGGATCTACACAGTTTCGTCTCCCGTATGTATGAGAGCCCTGCCTGGTATTGAATAAAAGCGGCTCGACAGGTGCTGTGCGAACCATAACAATATATGCTGATATCTCAACACTCCCACTTTTTACAGCACCTGTCCTGAAATAAGAAACAGGCTGCGCCTCCGCATGAACGAGTTCAGGATCTCGAAGCGTGGCGCCAAGTTGTGGTTTTCTCCAATGTCGTGCATTTGCCTCATAGAAAAGCACAGGCGCGTCAATACTTGCCCAAGACCACGAAGGCGCAACATATTCCTTGCATCTATGGCCCGGCCGTCGCTGTATTTGGTTTTCATCGCGACACCAAAGTAGACTTGCCCAAGGATCAGATTTGAGAATTCCGGCAAGGTATGCACTGCCTGCTTTATCGCATGCGATACCGTAAAATGCGAGGAGCCTGTCTTTTGGGTATGTTAGGCTTTTGTTGGAGTATTGCTCTATCAAGCGGTACCAAAGTGTGTACCATCTGTATGGAGGATGCTGGATGAGTTGTTCGAGACCCTGTGATCGGGTGTTGGGGTTGCTTTTGTCGCCTAGACATTGCCATATTATAGATTTTTGCGTCAACTTTACTAGTCTGCTGGAAAGTAAATATTCCTGGTAGCACCAACCTCTACTATCGGTCGGTGGAGGTGGTGGTGTGTTCCGAGGCTGTCCGTTTGGCAATATATAGACGGTTGATTTTGAGGAACTATCTTGTAAATCGAGACTAGCAGCGCTGTTTCGTAATGGGTTTCTACGATCCGTCATACCACCATATACTGAGCTAGATGCGGCTACGAGAGTCATAACAGCACTTCCATAGATGGAAGCCATATTAGAAGCCTCAAATTGCCAGTCCTCTGTTGAGTCCTGAAGAATACACATACTATCGATCCAGATGTAATGCTCTCCCAGCTTGCGAGTCAACATAATCGCATCATGAAGGGTTTGTGGAAGAATTCTGAGTGGAATCTCTGTCGCAAAGAGCGGCATAGTTGTAGTGATCAATTGCCATGGTGCATCTTTAGGTGTCATTCCCCAGCAATAGCTGAGAATCAAATACCCGCCTTTATACAGACATTCCTGCCCATCAACGAGTCTTGGAAAATCGCCGCTATCCTGGGAACCCACATAAATGAGGCGAGTTGGCGCCATTACCATTCCATTGCGTCCGGATACAATGTTAACTGCATTTTGTCGCTGTGACGCAGCGGATGAGATTGGAAACATCACCCGATCGCATGTTAACTTGTGGTTTTCTAAACAGTGACTCATGGATTGCTTGATATATCTAACCGCCCCTTCGCTCTCCTCATACGAGCTGATAAGATCTTACGATTTTAATCAGTATGCAGAATCCTAATTTCTGTATAAGATCTTACCCTTGAAATTTCGTGCATCTTCAGGCACCTCTCCAGCATCCAGGACATGTTTAACATCAGCAATTGGTAAATATTTGAAGGCAGAAAGTTTATCTTCAGCGTGCTTCCGTAAGAATTCGTCTACCAAAGTACTGTGATCGGACAGAGAGGCAAGATTCACTGTCAAGGCTACAGCTTCGGTATCACCAGTATCAATAGTTGCGCGTTCCAGGAATATTGGTTGCCCTTCCAATCGATGTTTGAAAGGCTCTCGGACAGCTTCGTATAGTAAAATGCATGTATGGCAACCTCTCGAAGCAGAATTCGCAAATTCAGAGAAGCTCGACCAGAACGGGTAAGGGTGGCTGATCTTTCCATTCTGGAATAATGTATAAGGAATCGTCTGGCATGTTGTGCATATTGGCCAAGTCGTTTTCAAAGCCATGTTCAAGTATACTCGCAGCTTCAAAGACCTTGGTAGCTGTATAAACCTCTTGAGCGACTTATATGTACTGAGATTAGGTAGCCATCTCAATGCTGAGCTGAGCTGCGACAATAATACGGCTGAGCCGAGGTTACGCCGGGTGTCATTTGCTAAGTAAACATGGCTTGAACAGAATGAGACATGTCAGCTCAGCTTGATATGATCACTACATAGGATCTCACTTCACGAGCTCGCTTGGGCGGGATGATTTTGTTATTTGATTGCATGCGACAACAAGTTTATCACTGTCTGATGGCGATAGGTGAGAATCTAGCTAGATTGTAACATTTTTAAATTGGGAACCAGTGAAAATACACTTGAAATAATCAAATTGGTCTATTCTTTTCTATATTTCCAATAATTCCGCCCTAATTTGAAGGCGTATAATCTACCAGCCTATATCTATTTCCCACTGCATCTTGATGGGATTCTTAATGTTCTCAGGAGTCTCATCTGGATACTTCTCTGCAATCAACTTCGTCACTTCATCAAAAAGAATCTTATAGCCCTCGCCGCTAAAATGTAGACCTGTAATATCAATTAGGCCACTCGAATATTGCTCTGGTAATTTGATTGCGGGTGTTGATGGGTTACTCACCATCGTATAGCAGTTTCGTGAGTTTTTTATCCTTGCCATTTCCTTCTAGACCTGGCATCTCAGCTGGATCATCTCCCTCTTTCCACCTTTCAAGTGATCAATGTTAGCTCATAGCTTCTTATTCCCCTGATCTTGCACAACTTATATAGTTCCCAAGGAAAACCATCCGACCCTTGACGTACCCACAAGCCCCCATAAATGCACTCCAAATATCGACAACACCCAGTCCCTCTTCCTCTCCAACCTTCTTTACTGCATCCCTATATTCTCTCGTCCAACTAACCCGTCTAGGTTCATCCGAATTTGCCCACTCAACATTCATAATTCTGGATGTTGCCTCATCAACAGGTCCAGGCGTCACAAGAATGATCTTCGGAGAATGAGCTTGAATGAGAGGGTGAGAGATAATGGCTTTGAGATTAATAACGAATTGCGGAAGGGGCACATGTTGCTTTGTGGAGGGGCCACGGTTGAGATCATTTGCACCAAAGAAGATAAGCTGATTTACTTTAGCTTTTGGCTCTGGGTATGACTATCAAAGATGGAAGAGTGACATACCAGAAAACGGACTTTCGCTTGAGAAGGTGAAGGAAAGAAATTTGGGAGTATTTCAAGTGCATGGTTGGTAGTATAGCCACTGCCCAAGTACGTTAGTAGATGTTTGGATATTCATAGGTTAAATGTAAGGGAATGTACCTGAAGCCTCTATTTATGACGTCAAGTTTCCTGGCATATGCTGAATAATTTGGGCATATTAGGGAGTGCGTCTTGAATGAATTTTGAAACAGGACCCTTTGTTGTATCGCCAAGGTCTGAGCAATACGAAAGACTTTCAAATCATACCATTTTGGATTGCAGATGCGAATGAGAATCCGCTTGGTTCATTGGAGCACTGAGTAATACTATCACCTGATACTCTATATCAGTACTGAATATCATAACCGAAGTATCTTCATGCCACCAACCAAATAGCATGAACTGATCATAAGGTGCCTATATTGTCTATCAGAATACGCTCATCATGTGATTTTCCTCTGTCCCAGAAAGCACTCACCATTTCTATCTCTCAAGCCTTCTACGAAGAGTTTGCCCAATTCCCTAGTAAAAGGAACCAGAACAAAGTATCTCAAGAGTCGCAAAAATCAACAAGATACTTCGGGACCGAAAATCCGAGAAAAATCTTTACCTCCAAAATAGGTACAGCTCACAAATGCATACGAAGTAAACGAGCCACACCCTATCCTGACAACGAACCATAGAACCGTTTTAACCAAAAAATGAAATGATAAATTGTATTTAAGACCATAACAATTTAGCCTGTACTAATCCTCGTGTATGAACTTCCACCAATAGAATGGTGTGGGGGCGGGACTACCCCGCCTTCGTTGTGGAGCGCGCGGGTGAGAAGAGGCTGATGATAGAAATCGATTGAAGGAAGGTGGGGTGAATGACCAGAATGACCGTTGTATAGTATTCAATGTAACGTGATGCAGGAGGTCCAGATAACATAACTCAAAGCTGTTCAAGCAAACCATCTACGAAATCATCTGTAGTGAAAATTTCGATACCTTGCTGCTCACAATGCCAGTCCCAGAAAATCTGAAAGATCTCAAAGACGTCCTACGTCCAGATTTTCACTTCGGTTACGCCACCGCTGCGCCGCAAGTGGAAGGCGCGTGGAATGTCGACGGCAAAGGAATATCTATTTGGGACAAGTTCGGCCACACACCTGGAAAAGTAAAAGATTCGAGTACCTGCGACGATGCTGTTCTCTCTTACTACAAAACTGCCGAGGATGTCGCCCTCATGAAGTCTTACGGTGTGACAGGATATCGGTTTTCGCTTTCGTGGTCGCGGATTATCCCTCTAGGAGGAAAGGATGATCCAGTCAATGAAAAGGGATTGAAATATTACAGTGAGCTTGTTGATGAATTGCTGAAAAATGGAATTATACCCTTTGTGACTCTCTTTCACTGGGATATCCCTCAAGCATTGGAGGATAGATATGGTGGTATGTTGAATAAGGAGAAGTATACTCCTGATTTCGCGAGGTATGCAAGGGTCTGTTTTGAAGCTTTAGGTGATAGGGTTAAGAATTGGATTACCTATAATGAGCCAGGTGTCTACACATTAGCGGGATATGCAGCTGGTGTACATGCGCCTGGACGGTCATCAAATCGAGAGTTGAATGAGGAGGGAGACTCGAGCACCGAGCCGTTTACCGTTGGCCATACGGAATTGGTAAGCCATGCTCATGTGGTGAAGATGTATCGGGAGGAATTTAAGGAAAAGCAGGGTGGAACTATCATGATCACTTTACATGGAAATAACTCGGAACCATGGGACGAGGAGGATCCGTTGGATGTGGAAGCCGCAGAAAGAGCGAGAGAATTTGAGATTGCGTGGTTTGCAGATCCGGTATATAAGACAGGTGATTATCCGGCTAGTATGCGTGCGCAACTCGGGGATCGATTGCCAAAATTCACGGAAGAGGAATCAAAATTGGTTTTGGGTAGTTCGGATTTCTATGGAATGAATAGCTATACGACCTTCTTTGTGAAACATCGAGACGGCCCGGCCGATATCAACGATCATTCGGGAAACATCGATAAGCTGGATACTAATTCGAAAGGAGTGGTGAGAGGACCTGAGAGTGATACTTATTGGTTGAGAACATGTCCGGATGGATTCCGGAAGCTCTTGAATTGGATCTGGGCTCGATATGGCGTTCCCATCTTCATAACCGAGAATGGAACTACTGCGAAGGGTGAAACAGCACCGACTGAAGAAGTTTTAAATGACAAGTTCCGAATTGATTTTTTTGAGGGATATATTGGTGCACTAGCAAGAGCTGTGAAAGAAGATGGAGTAGACATCAGATCTTACTTTGCATGGACTTTTACGGATAACTGGGGTAAGACTTCGCGAATTCCGATATTTACAAGTGACTGACTAGCAATATAGAGTGGGCTGCAGGATTTACTGATAGATTTGGAGTAACTTTCATAGATTTTGAGTCGAAAGGAAAGAAAAGATACCCAAAGAAGTCCGCAACTGTTATCAAGGAACTCTTTACCTATATGATTGAAGGAAAATAAGCATGGGATATGGTATGGGAATTCAGTGTGTATATGAATGTATATAGAATTCCGCATCAAACTAGGCGGTGGTCTCCAGTGCCATTTATAATCACAGTCTTGTCCGGGAGTACGACCTTCGTCATACGACCGAGTCGCGAGTGTACCAGGACCTTCGTTAATACGCCTTCATCCCAAGCAATATCAAGTTCAAATCCAGTTCTTGCCTTAACACCACTCAGCTCCCCTGATCTCCACTCTTTAGGGCAGGCTGGTAAGAGTTGAATGGTATCAATTTGATGTGACTGTATTAACATTTCGACAATACCAGCGCATCCACCGAAATTCCCATCAATCTGGAAGGGAGGATGTACATCTAGTAAGTTGGGTAATGTACTGTCTTCCAACAATCTAAAAATATGCCCCAAAGAGCCATCCGCATCATATAACCTGGCATGAAGACAGATGAGCCAGGCTCGACTCCATCCTGTATGCCCTCCACCATTCTCAGCTCGACGACGCAGCGTAACCTCAGCAGCAGAAGCAAAATCTGGTGTCTCTGAAGGGTGAATCGAGTCCCCTGGATAAAGAGACCAAAGATGCGATGTGTGACGGTGGCCCGGCTCATATTCTTTGAAGTCCTGAAGCCACTCCTGTAGTTGTCCAAATTCACCGACTTTTGAAGGCGGTAGTTCGCTCTGAGCTAATCTCAAAGGTTCAGTCAGTTCATCATTAATCTGCAGCAAATCTACAGATAATAGGAATGCCTCGAAGAGAGATTTGGTGATCTGTATATCGATAGCAGATCCCTCACACAAAACACCCTTTTGGCCTTCAAGGTCAATGTAAGAGTTTTCCGGAGACAAAGACGGACTAGTTATCAGAAAGTCTCCTGTTGAATCCTTGATAAGAAAATCCAAGATGAATTGAACACTTCCACGTAGTACAGGAAACATTCTTTGGAGGAATTTTAGATTATGATCGCCTCCAAATAATTGTCTTTGCCAAATATGGGTACAAAGCCAAGCACCACTCATGGGCCATACTAAGGTCGCCTTAATTAAGTAGATCATCGAAACTAAGAATTGGAGGCGACTCACGTGTGCCTGGCATCCAACGATCCTGAGGATCTGTATCAGCCCAGATGTCTGTACAGCTATGGGATGTCCAACCACGACACCCGTACATAACTCTAGCGGTTTTCTCCCCACGATGCGCCATCCGTTCAAGCAGATCAAACAATGGATCTTCACATTCTTCCAAATTACACACATTAGCTGGCCAGTAATTCATCTGTGTATTGATGTTAATCGTGTATTTAGAGCCCCATGCAGGCTGGAAAGATGGATTCCATAGCCCTTGCAAAGTCGCAGGAAGAGCTTTATCTCCTGGTCGACTACAAGATATGAGAAGATAGCGACCATAGTTAGCATACAAAGCCACTAAACCGGGATCTGGAGCGATAAGCAGCCTCTCATCCGTGGGTATGTGAGCCGCATCGGGAAAGAGCCGAAGTTTAAAACGCCCATATAGTGAGTTGTAATCCTGAACATGCCTTTTGAAAAGATCAGCATGGCTATAGAGTGCCTTCCTTGTTTGAGTTAGGGCTTTAGCTTCCAGATCCGCATGGCGAAATGTTGTCTGTGCAGAGACAATGATCATAGCCTTTGAGGAGTTCACAATGACACAGTTCCCCACAGTCTCAACGTTACCGTCACCAGCTAACTCCCGAACGCTGACAACGCAACAAAAATCATTGCTGTTTCGTCCACCTGGTGTCCCGTGCATCACTATGGTCCCATCTTGCGCTTCAATAGAGTCGACGAACTCATCAGTAGCAAATTCTCGATCGCTGTATCTTGATAATCGGATGGTGAACTCCGCTTTCTCGGACGACTCCAATTGAACGACCAAGACATCGTCAGGATAACTAGCGAAGACTGTGCGTTTGTATCTAACTCCGAGATGCTCATACTCCGTAGTTACATTCGCTGTTGACAGTTCCAATCCTCTCCAATAGTTGCTTACTTTTGCTGGGTCGTGTCCAAGATCCAAAGTCAGCGTTCCGAGTGGTTCATAGTGGCGTTGACTGTGAGGAGTGGCAAAAAATGCCTGCTCAACCAATTTTTCCGCTTCTGCATGGTCGCCTATCCGGATAAAATGTCGCAGACGGTCCAGGTTTTTGAACGCGTCTTTAGGTGTACGATCTTGAGGACCGCCATACCAGATTGAGTTCTCATTCAACTGAAGCTTTTCCCTTGACGTGCCACCATAGACCATCGCACCCAATCGGCCATTGCCTACAGGCAAACTTTCCGACCACTCCTTTGCAGGTGACGTGTAATGGAGAGTTTCTACCAGGTTAGGGGGGGCCATCTTGGATGTTCAAAGTGTTTTCTAGTATTCTAATACTGAGACATACTCTAGATATCAATTTTCCATGGTGGCCAATGCTGTCCAAAGACGAATGCGGTCAGTTTCGGCGCATTCCCTTCCGCTAAAATTCGATTTTCATCCAATCGCTTTGAATTTGATGACAGGGATCAATTTAACCAGGAAGCTTGTTCACGCATAGACAACAGCCTGAACGAATGTCTAGAAATCCATCAATAGGAACTCTTTGTTCGATGGTAATTACCAACTATTGGGGTTGCGGAGAAGAGATAATGCGGGGGAAAGTGAGGTGACATCGGGTGATAGCAAGGGCCGTTGTCCCGCATGGGACATGTGACATGATTGGTTGGAATCTAAATGGATTTCCTTATATACCTAACCAAAGTGAATATCGAAGTTAAATTTCTAAAGGAATACTACAGGAGTGATACGATTATTGTGGAGTGGTGATCTTTGCAAATTTCCTCTTACACCCCCCACTCATCTCCGTTGCCCATCAGCGACATCTAGAAGGATAGATCTTCCATCCGAAGCAAAGCCTCCGAATAGAAAGAAGAAGACTCTCGAATTGTCTTCATAAAAACCCCTGAGCACGCGAATTTGACCTTTGCCTCGAAGAAGTTCACTATCTGAATCAGGAACGCAATGTCACCCAGGTACGATAGTAAGCTGGAGCCAGTTGTCTCAGAAGGCCTAGGCGACTTCAAACATGCCGAAGAACATGTGGAGGAAGTCACTATTGCTCGTCTAACTGAAGAGGACTTATTCCTATTATCTCAAGAATCGCTGCAATTCAAATCATGGACTTCGTTTCGGATCTTCTTGATGATGTTCGTACAAGGCTGTGGTGCCGCTGGATACGGTATCGATTGGGCCGTCATTTCTGGAATCAATGCCTTCAAACCTTGGCACACCTATTTCGGATTTGGCACAAGCGGTGTGACTTATGGTACCTTGAACGCGTTGATGACTATCGGAACGATTTGTGGCGCTCCATTCATGGCATTTGCTGATATTATCGGACGACGAGGCATCAATTTTGCAGGAAATTTTATTGTTCTAGTTGCATCTCTTCTGCAAGCGTTTTCGGTAAACATGCCAATGTTTATGGCCGGCCGTTTCTTCTTGGGATTTGGCTCAGCACTCATGTCCAGTCCCCAGTACGTCGCTGAAGTAGCCCCAACACATCTCAGAGGTCGACTTGTTGGGATATTTGGAGCTTGCTTTCAAGTCGGAAGCTTGTGTATGAACGCCGGACTAATAGGATTAGCTCACATTGAATCAGACTGGTGCTGGAGAATTCCTCTGGTTCTGGAAGGATTATTTCCATTGATTGTGTGCTTGTTCATCTACCCCTTAACACCGGAATCACCACGTTATCTCATCATGAGAGGACAAATGGAAAAGGCCAAGAGGGTTATCGCCAATATGCACACCACAGAAGGCAATAATGTGGATCATCCTTTGGTCACTATTGTTGCAAATCAGATTGAAGAATCCTTGCAGAACGAGAGACAAAGTAATCATGCTTGGTGGGACTACCGTGTGCTATTCCATGGTAGACCAGCACAGTATAGAGTTTTAGTTCTAGTACTGTACTCAATCTTTCAACAGTGGAACGGGGGCGGCATCATTGGGCAGTATCTTGTACCCGCTCTAGACACCGTCGGAATTACAGGAACCACCGAGCAGCTGGGTATGAACTTCGGACTAAATGCGACTTATTTGGTGTTTACTCTTTGTGGTTCCTTTATAGTTGACAGATTCCGAAGAAGGACTTTAATTTTTGCCGGATTGATCAGTTTCATTCTCTTACAAACAGCCGCTACAATAACCTCCTGGCAATACACATTGAACGAGAGCAAAGTGGATGCTGGGCTTGTTGTGACCTGGCTTTTCTTGTTCCAGACTTGCTCCTCTTTGCTAATTGCGACAATGCATAATCTTTACCCTGTTGAAGTTTTATCACTTGATATGAGAGCGAAAGGTATGGGCTTGTATGCTCTCGTACAAGGTGCAGCTGGAACAGTTCAGAATTACGGCATCTCGGTTGGAATACAGAAAATTGGATACAAGATTTGGGTCGTGTATGTTGGGTATAATCTCATACAACTGGTTCTCTCATATTTCGTATTCCCAGAGACCTCTGAATTGACTTTGGAGGAAATTGATACTGTGTTTGAGACCCCGGGCGTCAGACCAGTGAAGATGTCCCTTGATATCCAGAAGGCGAAGAGAGAAAAAGAAAGGCTCGAGGCTGAAGCATTATCTAGCGGTGTTCAATATTGAGAGAAGGCGACATAAGGAGGAATGCCATGATAGTTTATCTGAAGAGCGTTGGTGTTAGGTTTTTCTTCAAAGACAAACATGAATTCCATTCATTAATTTTCCACAGGAAAGAATTTTTTTCCATGTTTCTGAATGAGGTTGATCAATGACATATAGATTATATGAGAACTTGTATATGTTCAATCATGAGAACTACGTGCTTTTGAATGGATGTTTTGATGATTTGTGAGCGTTCTATTGCGAGTATTTATTTCCTAAGATGCAAACGCGCTGGAAGACTTGGCATTTTGACGTTCCGCTGACTAATCTTAATCTAGATTGATCAGGAAACTCAGTCATCACAACAAATGCCAAAAATTTCCACACCCAATCAGAATTATTTTAATCAAGTCATATATCTTCTGTAGATTGGAATTCTTGATACAACTAACTTGAGAGTCCAATAATGAATATTCCGAATACCATACCCCCAATCCTCACCTCTCCGTTCCGGACAGCCTGCAAGCACTTGCGGCACAGTAACCTTATGTCCAACATCTGAAATCTTCTACAAACGAAGCCGCGCCCCTGGATCTGACATTGCAGCTCATGGATATGTCGAATACACAGCCTCCTTTCCCACTGGTTGCTGGAAAAAGTCGGCCGGTACGTCCGCGGGCATTTGTCGCTGCTCAGCCCAATTCCTCACAGCATCGAAATCTCGACACTTATGTTTTGTATTGAAATCCTGGTCCGCCTCTGAGGCTTCTGAACGGACCCAGATTTTACCCATAACGCCAATATCAACTGTACACATCAGCTGCTGACGAATAATATCAAGGCAATGAGCTATCGAAGCGGCAAAGGTTAGCATTTCTTTAGGTTCTTTCCAGACGGTTAACTTACAGACGTGGAGCTTTAATATTGGAATGTCATTCTCGAAAGCGCCTTCTCCCTTTGTTTGATAATAGTCATAGTTATACCACAATCCTTGTCGAAGCAGGTTCAAACAATGAAGATGGGTCAAACCTTCAACATTAGCTGGGTAGCCGCCACCATATTTCTCACTGATTGTTACATGATCAGTAGTAATTCCGGAACTCGCTGCCAATGTTGCAGGAACGACGATGTCACGATAGTTAATTCCCAAATCATTCCAGGCCGTATCAACTTCCTGACCTGCATCTTGGCGATACTGATTGGATTGTGGAAGTGACCCATTAAGACTCATCGTGGTATATGAAAGGCTCAGGTCTTCAAGGACTGGGGCTGTGGTAGCATCGTTAGCTACTGCTTCCTTCGGCAAACAATCATACAGAACGGCGAACTTACAATATTGTGAAATATAACCCGTGCATAGTCTTTCAGTGCTGCGACCCCAACGTCCACCAACCCAGAAGCCGATTAAGCAGATACTAATGAAAAAGATGAAGAAGACGAAAACTAGGAGAATCTGCGAACAAAGGCTTTCCTCTTCTTCTTCTTGCCTTCTATATTCGGGTTCTAGAAGGGGTGTTCGACTCGTTGTCCCCGCTTGACGAGGAATCTCTTCGAACACATAAATTTTATCCGTGAGCCTGGTTCTCATTTTGAAGTTTGATTATCAACTTTTTGTAAAGGAGGATACTTGCTTCTGAGAAGTTGAAGGTACGTGATGTTTGGTATTAGGATGGTTCCGAGGATAACAACATCTTGGGACTTCAGAAAGATCGATGATATTTCTCGACGATTATTGATCTGCATCAGTGTATGGTCCATGTCTGAGATAATGAGGTTGAATCTATCGTGAAGTAATGATCTGTAGTCTGTATTGGTCTGTCCCGCCGCTTGATTTGGTGATAATTTCTCTTCAAAACAATGTCTTCAGAAGTATGAAACATTGTACAACTCAAGTAAGCTATTTTATCGAACACTGGGACTGCAATTTTATTCTCGGATCATCGTCGTTATTACACGTGTGAAGGAGTATTTTGTTTGCTCATCATATTTCTTCAATCGCGATATGTCGAACCTGCAATTTCAACTTCATCTTCGTCCATTTGCTCTTTAATAAATCCTGGAGATGCATTATCTTGGGGTGATATTCCTAAAAGCCAGTATCTGTGTTTGCATCACGACGCCGGCGATATGCTCGCTTTGTAATTATCTTGTGCGCTCAAAATGCCAATTCTGTGCCACAGTACCACTTCGTATTATGGAACATGGCCTTACCCAATGCTTTTGCGATGGTGTTTCTGAAGGCTATCAAGAACCAAGATATGTTCTGATAGATTTTTGTGTCAAGACATGGAAGTACCTCAAATTCCAGATGCTTATGCTTAGACTCGTACATGTGGGATATTCGATAGATTAATCTAAACTCTCTTTGCGTTGCGTATCACCGCGGATGATAGCTGGCTGATGGCGTATCAATTCATATTCATTCCGATATCTATCACTACTACTGTATTATGAATGAAATTTCATCATTTTTCGATTCATATACAATTACACTCGGTCAAATTCTCCCAACATAACATTCAACTCTCATCGTTTAGCCAATACAGCTGTACCTCATCGATAGTCACGTAACCTCCTCCAATCTCCCTTTCCGTTATGTACGATGAAACCAACTTCATTACCAGCATACTAATCCTGGTTTCTATCGTCTGCATGATAACCATCATCCTCTTTCTCGGGGTCTATATATGTTCTCGTCAAGCTCCATCTCTCTCATCCTTCCCATCTCATCAATCACATCCGATCCTTCTACATCCACCTTGACGTCTAAATTTCCATACTTACTCTCTCGAATCCCCAGTGTACTCATACTCATATCATGAGATTCCTTGCTGAATTTGCATTGGCGCTAGCCATGGCTACTGGCGTGGTGGCCGGTGCTTTAGATGCTAGTGCAAGTGGTACCGGGACTTTGACCACGACCTCGAGCGCAACGTCTTCAAGTGCTAGTACGGCGACTGTCACAACATCCACGACAGCTAATCCTTACGGTGCGTATGGAGAATATGGTAACTACGGAGTGTATGGAAGTTACCAAAGCTATAGGAAGAGAGCGAAGAAGTAGTTCTATTGATGTAGAAGGTGAGTTATTGTCTGAGGAGTCTTTCGAATTGAGACTAACTCGTGTAGTAAGATCGCTCCGGGTCTGAAACTGCCATTTTTCGGCGAGGGTTCTTTTATGTTCGGTGGTGCACTTTCATTTGGGGGCGGGGGTCTAGTTGGGTGGCTCGGGGGTTTTAATTCAATTTGGAGGAGTGATTTGCTTGAATGTCATTCAACTCTGTATTGTCACAACTCAGTAACAAATGCTAAGAATCTGTGGACATGAGGGTAAATGTAACCTTTACTTTTTGCCCACCATGGCCACCCGCTGTCGAGTTTTCATTGTAGCTGAATGGTAATTACGAGGGAAGAATAGGGAATAAGTCCTGAATTCAGTAATATTGACACTTGTGTAAGATTGCCACGCTGGATCTTTTCAGCACGAGAAAAGTCACGCGAGACAAAAGCAGTATGATAATTTACAACTTCATGCTGAACATTTCGAGTCCTCACTTTCCCGGAACATTTTCAAAATGACAGGTGAAAAATGTATTGATGCTTCTCTTAAACAGGTGTAGCAGGATCGCGTTTACATTCACTGGCATTATTCTAAAACGAGTACCTATAAGCTGGGAGCATTCAGAGGCACTCGTCTCAATTAATTTCACTCTGCCTCCAAGAATTTCTAAGCTTTAGAGATCTTAAATCCTCTTTCACATGAGGTCTGAAATGCACCTTTGGGGTCACAAACTTCACCAATTTCTCTTAATCTATTTAATCCCTCCACCCCATACCCTCTCAATGGATTCTGCCAACCTGCCGCATAATTCAAATATTTGAACTCACTGCCTACACCCCTTTCCTTTACCGCTTCATCGATATCTGAAATCAATTTCTGCGCGACTATCGTTATTCCTTCGTCATCTTCAATATTCTCCCAGTTATAAGAAAGGAGAAATAGAGTAAGAGGACCTGAGGAAGATGAAAGGCCAAGAGAGTTGACTTCCTCGGATTGATTCATTGCAGCAATGGGAAGGGGCTGGATTGTTATGGCCCAATTCACACCAACGATAGAGGAGACAGAGGTGATGCTTGATTTCCAGATTGAATGGACAGTTTGAAGGAATTTGAAGCTTCCCCCAAAGGTGGTGGTTGCGAATTGATTGCTAGTTCATATTCAGCATTTCATTGTTCAAAACTACAATTATCATATCAGATGGGAACAAACCGTAAGCCGGGCGCAGCATATTTTCCAGCCTTCATAGCGAAGTCTGCAAGATTTGAAATACGCATGGTATTCAGATATTGAGGTTTCGCATCAAGAAACAGTTTGAACGCCTTCGGGCTCGTGTCGTTTTTTGTATACTCCAGATTATTGAAAATCGAATATCCATTTCGTTTTTGATTCCATGATATACTCATCATGATTGCAGCATAGGGGTCCAAATTCTCAAGAAGGTCCGCAAATCCTTTCAACTGTGAGTCAAGTGTCGAAATATCGTGGACGATGCAACCACCAAGGAAATTCTCTTGCGAAAAAGTTCGGATATCAAAGCGTGTGACGATGCCAAAGTTATTGGAGCCACCTTTCAGTGCTTGCCAGAGATTGCGATTCTCGAAGCGATTGGCATTTACAAGACTTCCATTGGCGAGGACCACTTCGTAGTTTTCGACGTTGTCGCACACTAAACCCTCCCTGGCACTAAAGAATGAGATACCTCCTAGCAAAGCATTCAATTAGTCATGAGAAGTTTCAGCAAGGATTCGAAGGTTTATTTATTCCATACCACCAGTAGTCAATCCTCCAACCCCAACATCGGCGACTCTCCCGCCGCTCGTAGCTAATCCCAAACTATCTAAAACTGAATAAACCTCGCGCCGCCGATAGACACTAAGGTCTGTTCTTTATTGACCTCTACCTTATTCAAAGCTCGAAGATTGATGGTGACTCCGCTTTCAATATTTGCAGCTCCGGCATTCAATGAGTACCTCCACTATCTTTGCAACTTCAGCATTTGTAATTGGTGTTGCTATGTATGCTGGAAATAATGACTGGGCTTGGGCTGAGAAGCAAGAGTCCCGTGCTGACTGATAGTCTGGATCATTGTGAGTTGCAACTTTTCCTTGCAAGGATTTGTGCAACGCTGTAATCTAATTCTCCTGTCAGTCAATTTATTGACGAGACTTATGCTTTGGTTACTTGTAGCTGTTTGCAGTTCTGTCATGACTTGTTTAGATTTCACAATTTCTTTCGAATTAAATTTCAGAGCAAAAGTAAAACGTTGTAGGAAATAAACAAAGTAACCAGTATCATATGGGTATACCCTTCAAATCAAAGCATGCAAATATAAGAGATAGAAAAGGTACTGCTTGGCCAAAAAACAAGTAAACCTCATTTGCGTCGAGCAACATCTTTACTGTTGGTCCAAGGAACGAAAGTTCCGATCGAGATTAGAAAATGATGCTTAGCCGGGTTACTCCAATTTGAAAAGCGGAATATAACCATATGTTTGTTGTCGGCATGCAGTTGGAAATCATTTCTGAATGTGAGAACGCAATGCTGATCCGGAACGAACATTGCTGTTGGCACGAGATCATACCAGAGATAGAAGACTTCCGAATCTATACAGAGAAAGGTCATTTATTAGACGTCAACTATGAAATCAAATTTGAAGGGAGAAAGATGACGACATTTTGCCAGGCTCTGTCGAGATGTTGAGAATTACGGATTTCCTTGGAACCATATCTGTCTAGAGCCAAAGCGACAAGTTAGGAGATGTAAGATGTGGCTGTAACCTGAACCATATTGTCGGAAATTGGAACTATTAAATTGACAGAGAGTAGTTCGAACCATCGTTACGCTTCTCATGAAAAGTGACGCTGCTGGACTGTATTACTTGAACTTGCCGACAGTGTGGATCAAATTTGGCGCTATTCATTCCGAAGATCCCAATTCTTATGTGTACTCTCGTCTGTCGAAGGTTCGCAATAGCCGTAGCTGAATGGATACGACGAAGAGCGTATTCATACTCGATGATGAGCACCGGGAGAAGTTATTGACAGTAGTAATGACAACTGAGAGCGATACGGTAGGAAACAATGTGGCTGGCCCCTTTACGGGTGGTAATATTTTAGAATACTTACATCGCGACTGGCTGTTACTCTAACCCAGATATAATTTGCACCGAGAGTTGCCATTTTTAGAGATGAGCTTTGTATATCTTACAAGAAGATGCACCACCAGCACGACAGGCTAGATTAGGCTTTAAACAGGAAACCAACCATTATTTATATTTTTACTAGATTCTCGAGATTTGGTTCTTGTTCCTATACGAAACAAGCTCTTTGTAAAGATTCCCGCCTAGCAATTGGTAAGTCAAAAATCAACCACTATGCCACTAAATTGACCAAACATCGAAGATCTGTCGATGAGAGCAATATCGAGCGGGTTTCGACATTGTGATAAAGCATTCGATGCACTAACAATCGCTGCATTATCGGCATTGTAGATCTAGTATTGTGCAGTTAAGATAGAAGAGAGGCCTTAAGATTCAACAAGGTAACAGCAATATATCACAAGTTCATTTTTTCCGTCGCTCTTTACTCAATGAAGACTTCTCCAGATGTGCTTCCGCCAAACATGATCGGAAATAGTCGAAAATTTCCTTAATATGATCACGTGTACATAATTTTCCCCCGACAGCTCGGAAGTTCGCTCTTGAGTACCGCAACCAGTGAGCCATCAATCCTTTTCTTCCTGTTACACTGCAGCGTCGCGTCACTGTTATCTTTCGATTATCAAACGGAAGATTTCTCCATTCTTATGTCAACCACATTCTTCAAAATGCTCCATCAACATCTTGTGGAACATCCGATGATAACCTTCCTCAAACAGGCGGTGAACCTCTAAGTGGTACAAGCTTTCATGCTTGAGTCTCCACCATTTCCCCGGAGCCTAATAAGCGTGTGATCATAACTTTACTGGGGTTAGAGTAGCAGTGTGAAGTATCCTAGTGGGTACCCCAGCGAGGCCAGGAAAGAAATTATCACACAAACTCATCGTTTTCTGCATATACGGAAGAGGTTGGTCGATGGTTTAACCGTTGTATAGCCAGTTATGCATGAGGCTCGCGTCCTTTTGGAAGGAGACATCTCCTGCTTACAGAACTTGGAATTCTCCGATCATGCGTAAGATTTTTTTCTCCCTCAATATTCCATCTTACGGACGTATTGCAAAATTCAGAATTGCATGCTGATATAGGCTTACTATAGTATGATTGGGGTTCGACACGTCTGATACGATAGTTCGTATAGACTAAACCTTAATGGAAGTCTTTAGTGTGTAGGCGACGAAGATAGATCGCCATGCATTTGTTTGATGGCCGAAATGAATACGCCTTGAACCTTGTGTCATTTCCTAGGTATTCGATTTCGTATGTTCAGATATCGAGATTCTTTTACCTTGCATCTCTATTTATTAAGGGGTTTAATATTGATATTTTATTCTAGGACGCGTTTGATTGAAATGAAATTCGCTCGAGCGCTTTCTGATATTGAAAATGGTACAGGGTTATAATTCTTCGGACTCGCTAATGTATGGCCAAAATCGTTATCAGTTCATCTTCCTCAATTCCCCAACGTCAGGTCCACAGAACAGTCTTCTCAAAAATTCCACAAACATGGATCTAGGTTTATGATGTAGCATGTGGATATTGAACAAGGATAATATCGGAGATTCCACATTTCTGGGTCGAGGAATCAAGCTATCCATGCATCTAAAGTCATCGACAACGTGCTAAGGGGTGAAGGATTAACTATTCATACTTGAAAGCCAGCGGTTGCAGCTTGCCTGTGTAACATCAGGCAAAAGAACACTTGGACGGGATCACGCCCTGGAGCCAATGATAGAAGACAGATATCGAGCGGGTACATGTATGTCAATGGATATCCTGTGTTCCCAGACAAGAAAGGCTACCAAAAGGAGTTGTTACGGACGAGTTACGGGGATTCATCCATGTGCTCGGTGTCTTATTTTTGGCCTGTGGCAATCTTGGGAAAACTGCCCCCAAACTCCCCTCAGACCCTGGCTCCAGACTGTGCACAATGTCGCCGTGACACCTTTCGCTAGTATACCCTAGATTGAATGAAAAGTTTTGAGTACGGTGCACTCATATCTCCTATACTGATGCTTTGAGAGTGACCTTCAGAATGACTATGTTGGTGATATCAAACCTTGAGAAACACAAATCGCACAAAATTGTCCTTTCTGGTTTTGCACATGGAACAAACACGAGATTGAGAGCAGCAACAGCTAATGTCTTTCATTGCTAAAACTATCAAAACTTCCATGGTATCAACCGCTAATTTCACAGCAATATTTAAACAGAACCAGATCGATGTAATCATAACCATTGATTCATTTATTCATGATTTCATTTCCCATCTCAGCATCTTCCAACACCATAGGTCCTATGAAAATTGCCCCCTTGCGCAGAATATGAATAACTCCATTCCCTCTTCGGCTCTTCTTGCGCCTCGTACCCAGGCTTTTCCTCTCTCACTCTTGACATCAGCATCTGATTATTCCATTGCGGCATCTGCCACTCGTACATTCCTGGATCTGGCTTGAAAATATCATCGTAGCTCCCAGAGACCTCCGGCATTGCCCCCATGAATGTTTGGAAGGGTTGCGAGCCCCAATGATGTGAAGGACCCATGTTGTATTCGGTAGGCTCGGGAAGTTGGCGATTGAGAGAAGGAGCTTGAGGTAAACTATTTGGAATGGCAGGCCATGTGGTTTCTTCATAGAGCCCATCAAGATCACCGAGTTCAGGCGCTGGAGACTGGCCTGCTGAGTGAATGCTGGATTCTGAGGTTGGCGGTGATGGTATTGATGCAGTCATACCATTCCATGGAACAGGGTGATGTGATTCGAATCTCTGATGGCCTTCAGCCTCCGGAAATGATCTTCCGTTATCCGCCACAATTGCAGATGGCGACCTTGATCTGATAGTGGGTGTGTTCATTGGCGGAGAAAGTAATTGGTGACTGCCGACTTGGTCTTGAGAATCTGATTGAATGCTGACTTTCATCTTTCTGTCTGCTCTCGTGGTTGTTTGTCTGCGTTTGGTGCCTTCTTGCACATATGATGGTCTTCTTGTAGCAACAATATTTCCATCTGCATCTCTCCAAAGTCTTTTTCTGGTAGCCAATACACCTAGTCCCTCACCACCAGCTTCATCATCCTTCTCCTTGTGACGATTCATATGTCTGTCTACATGACATGTTAGGAAAAGATTTTGGGGGAGTAAAATAATGTCACCTACCAAGGAGATCTCGACGTCGAAAATGTGCACGGCATCGCAAACAGGTATGATTTCCATCCTTGTGATTTAACGCATGACGATGCAAATGTTCACTCCTTGAAAACGATTTTCCGCACCCCGCGAAACTACAGCAAAACTTCTTCTTCCCGATACCTGCATTTGTGCTGTCATTCAAACTTTTCGAACTCGATGTTGAGCTTATTGAGGATGTGCGAGAGGATGATGATGAATTAGTGAGTGAAGACATGTTGATGTCGACGATAGTGATATGATAAGAGTAAAGTTCAAGCTTTGACTGTTGTCCTAATTCCAATACTGGTAATTGAGTTCAGACTATATAATAAATATCGAAGAACGGGGAAAAGAGGGGTCCAGCACTAAGGTATATATCTAGTCACGGAATAATTTCCACTCCACTGACAATCATACTATCTAACCACTGGCTCAATTTCCATTTATTTAACACTCCCAAGTTTTACCCACTCAAACACTGGTTATCGGGCATGGTGCACATACGTACATGATGATACATACATGGTTCCTCCAGGGCTCTCCACAACTAGTTTATTCAAGATTTCCACTACCACTACTGACAGGGTGTTCGGGCAGACTAGTCAATTGCGAATTGCGACAAATTGACATACTAAACCCCGACCTGTCAATGGGTGAAGCTACCTAGTTGAGTAGGATATCCGCTCACAAATCCTTTGGTAGTTCATGTCTTGTATGATAGGCATTTAGCCACGACGAGAATAGAAATTTGAACCTCATTCGGCTTCATTCCCCATATCCAACATTTCCATAGCGACGATACCGCACAAAAATTACTCGGGCATTAACCATGTTTATTCTATGTGATTCTCCAACCACGGGTTCTACAAATGCAAGTGCGGTTGTCTGTTCCGTTAACACCCATCACCTATCAGGAGTCGGCACCGGTGCATCATGCGTACAAAGTATCCTCGTAGTTCTCAGCCGTTCCCTTGCAAATACCACCAATCACGTTTGTTAAACGTTTTCTATTTGATGTTACAATTGGCTCCCCAAGCACATGGTATACCAGCATCCCCACAATTCCCATCAATCATTCTCAAATCAAAGGGCGCCAGGTTACCCCTCCACGCAAACCCATGTTTGTATATATTTATCGCTCGCCGCTGCATCCATTAATTTTCTGTATTGGTTTTTTTTACCTAGGTATTTGCCAATTGCCTTCCTTATCGATATTTTCTCTGTTGATGTATTTACTAAGCAGTTGGGGCATGAACTCGAAAATTCTTATCGCAGATATCTGACCACTTGTCACCCTGTAAACATTTCCACGCTACTCGAATCCCTCACAGCGTTTCGGTGATTTACGCCAATCAATCAAAATCAATCCCCATAAGCTTTACTCACCTAGCTTGATGTGGAAAATACAGCGGCCATCAAGTGCCGCCGTTGGCGATGCTAACGACATCGCTTAATGTAGCTCTGGAACCATAGAGTCAAGGGTTTGCTGGAACTGGGTATCTAACCGACTACATGACTTGCCAATGCAGTTTAGCTTTCACCCTAAATATCACAATACAGCTGCCTTGAGGCTGGAGGACTAGAAAATTATGGGAATTTCCGTTGGGGTCCATAAGTTATAATAGAAATCGACTCTCTGTACGTACAATCCCAAGGAGTTGAAGATCTTCACAACTCCAATCTCCATGGGCTTGGCTTCTGGTAATTTATGGCGATATCCCAGCGAAAGATATAAGTACTTCGGTAAACAATAGCCCGGAATGGGAGTCATATCCGACGGTGTCCACTTTCTTCGATGTGAGAAAGTCCACCCCCAAGACTACTAATATCATACAGTAGCGTGGTTTTTGAATCGGTCATATGAATGGATGTCCCGTCCTTTTCCTTTCTCTGATATTATTCCGTGATATCGTCATAAGGATGAGGGTGTAAGCTAATGCTCACCGTCGTTTGAGGTCATAATAACACCTAGAGTGCATGTGTGTGATAAGATGCGATATCACCATGCAATGACCATGTCTGCCATGTGTAAACGCTGTTTCTTTGCACATCAATCCTTTTGAACATCTTGAAGCTGGAAGTCGTAATCCTCATCCTGAATCCTTTATTTCTGTTTCATGCAAACGTCTGTGATTCTACGCGCTTGTCGTGTTCGCACAGTGCTTTTGATTTCGAAGCCCTGTTCCTTGTAGCGCGAGTTAGACCCCAGGTCAATAATTTCCCAACGGATGCGCATCTTTAGTCCACCAGCCATGAAAACGCCACGTGTGGAAGACGAGATCCATTTCCATGGTATTACCACAGCCATAGACGGAAGGATCGAAACCTGGGTCTTTGAGAACCTTAATGGTACATGCTAATTGACAGGAATATATGAACGAAGCGCTGATACCTGATTCGACTTATCTTAGTACTGTCTTAGCCATTTAATTCGTGAGCTTGTCAAACGTCCGATGTTTTTCCGGTGGGGCCTAATGATTGATGTTGACTGCCTTGAGCTGTTTTCCAACTTCACTAAACACCCAGCCTTGATCTTTAAATATCTTTGGCATTACCTCCTTCTCTGGACCAAAACGCGATTTTAGCCGATGAATTTCCCAAGAATCGATTTTCCTAGGCCATATCGTCGATCTGGTACCAACCATGGGAATAAATGGGAATAATAACGTACAATCGCCCAAGTGTACTTGATGTTAAGCTTCACTATGTGGGCATAAATCACATCCTGAACTTTAAGCGCCTTCATGTCGTATGATTTCCGATTCGAAGTCGACACTACGTTAGGACGCCAATGCCGTTTGCCTTAATGATCTGCCGTAATATACCCCTGTTGTCTGACTATAAATTGCTTCCAAATTGCTTCCAGGTAAGATTTTAAAGGAGGAATCGCGTGGCAACTGTTACCGGCGATGTCAAATGGATCGATTGAGTTTGGGGGCATCGACCTTCCTCTTTTGCTACCATAGATTAACATGACGAGTCGAGCGCTAAAACGCTGTGCCAAAAATACACATTGTGATGAAAACAAATTCCAGAATAAAAATGCCTATTGCTGACAGTCCGCAGGGAGTCGCAATCTAAATAAAAAGTTATCAATCCATCAAATGCTTATGAGGAAGGACCCCCAAGTTTATATACCTCTTGTCCTTTCGTTTGCTGCCTCACTACCCCATTCTCCTACAAACTCCAATCATACCACACACCTACCACTTCTAATGGAAGGAATGCTTTCCGGCCAATCAAGGTTCCCCTCCCACGTCTTCAAGGCAAGAATGGGGTATTTATCTCAATGTTTTTGAATTTTTAGTACTTAAAAAGTGCCACTGTCGGACACAGGCACTCTCGTGGTCTTTGTCCTGACGCTCGTCCAGCTTTTCCCGAAGATGGGGTTTAACTGGAGACAGAATAGGAAGTGTTAAAGTTTAACTACATTTCCTTCCTGGAACGTGACCGTGCTACAATATCAAAGTTCTGCACCTGATCGACACGACGTCAAACTCTATAAACATGCATTCATGTCCAATTTCTCAGCCTTACAAACCTACTCAAAACACGAGCTGGATACACGTGAAAAGGACCGTTACCGCTAGACCCCAATTGCTAGAAGCTTCGTGCCCAGAAATGTAGGAAAAAACTTTAACTTACCGACATGCAACAAATCAAATTGATCAGTAAACAAATCCCATCGCATCTTCCAAATCCCGTTCTTTCTAGCCCTGTCATCCCATCCTCAATCCCTTCACGCACATGGCAAACAAGCATTCCGTTCTGCACACCATCACTAGGTTAACCTCCAAGCTGTTCCAAGTCACCGGGTCCGAAGACTCTCGGCTCCGGCGCTGGCGGAACCAAATTTTCGGGAACACCTCTTCTCACGTAAATGAAATGTGTACCGATACCCTTGTGCATGTTCTACCAAATGAATTGCATTAAATTTCTACGCTATCTATGCACTGCATGGCATAACTATCCGCAGCCCCTTGTGACTGCCCGTCCCGTTTCGCTTCCATGACACCGGGACCCAAAACAAATAACTGATAGTACACAACCACGTTCATTCTTTACCATAATAAGCTCATTTTTTGGGTTTTAAAACTTCTTTTATGAAATACTTTTGTTTGCCGTCAAGTGAGTAACCATGCAAACCATGGGGCAGCTATTGATTCTGCCGAAACAGACTTTTAACGGTGTGGAGTCAAATATCAATGTTTCTGAGCACATGCCAGATAGTACCCTCCTTAATATCATTGTATGAAACAAACTCCAAGGCCTTTCCTACCTGTTTTTTTCGCCCTTGTTTTACTTTCAGTTCCTTCTCCCCCCTCTATACTGTCTCAGCTGCACTAACAATCATCGTCGTCGGGTGGTGGACTCTCATTTCGATACTGTGCACGCGATATAGCCTTGGCTTTCTCAAACGCAGCAGTCTCATCCATCGAGTCGTCTTGAAACTGCGCGAGTGATGTACTTTCTTTCCAATGCGCTTCAGATGACATAATCTCTGCAAGCTTGGTACTCTTGTGGATTGGTGTGCGCCCTTGTGCAGTCGAACCCTCATTATCTTTGCGCGTAGTCAGAATAAGTCGCGGCTTGACTTTTTTGTGTTTGTCTTTGGTATCTTCTCTCGCCGGTTCGACCGGTTCAGTTTTGTCCAATGAAATCAATGACATTCTTATTGCCTTTTGAAGATCATCTTCCTCTTCCTCTAGTGTTTGCGGTGAAGCTTGTGAGCTCCATTTTCCTATCGCTGCACCATATTCGGCGTTAACACGTGGGTCTCCCGTTATTAAAGGGGGGTTATGATTTTCGTAATCGTCACACAATTTCTTGTCGTCATGTGTCTCGTCAACGTAAAAATCCTCCCTCTTTTCCAAATATTCATGTTCTGCTTCCAGAAGTTCCAATCGACTTTCCACATTTTTGTACTCCTCGGAGCCATAGGGGAGATCACACAGTTGTTCTTCTAGCTGGTCTGACTCCGTTTCTACAGCTGATATTAATTGATTGTAATTCATAAATCTGTCATGAGAGAACCAGCGCGAAGAATTCATCGCATCATCAGGCCCAAATCCATTTGCGACAGGCCGCATGTTGGAGTCTATTATATCAAAAATGATTCTGGCCGCCCTCTGTCGATCATCTTCGAGTGCCGGAACTTCCATAGAAACCGCTTTATCCCGGATGTCTTGTAATTCTTTCTTCTTTTGTTCTCTCACAGTCTTGTCACTATCGCTCGACCTATTCTGCCCGAGAACCTCCATGATAGCCATCGACTCATGCTGTAAACAACGCAATTCGACAACCAGACTACGACTGGCTTCCTCTATCTTCGTCTTTTTTTCGTTGGAAATTAATTTTCCGTTGACACGCACTCGCGGTCCTTGACTTGGTTTTTGTTTTGGAGTTGGGGGTGGGGGTAGAGCTACAGCTGCTGTGTTTGGTTCGATGCCTTGACTAGCCATGGGACTTCCATGAGACTCTGAACATTTCTCCGAGGAAGATGAGGGAGGATTCGTCCGTGGTTCATTTTCAAGCTTTCTTCGCTTATACGTTTCAAGCTGTCTTTGCTTGCACAGTTCAATTCCCGTTGTGTCTGACAGCTTGACATTATCATATCCATCGACTCTTCCTTTTAACATTAGTTCTCTGGCCTTTTCTTCAGTCAAAGGCTCCCACTCATTGCCGTTGTTTTTCACTTCCTGGTAATGTAGACGGAGAATCTTTCTAGGTTCGCCTTTAGCGTCCCAATCCTCATCTGAATAATCTTCATCATCGATTATATGCCTGCGTCGACGTCTTCTGGCTCTGAAATCATCTGCGGTGTCGTTTTGAACTCTGGCTGTAGAGAATATGCGCTGCGATGAGTCAGGTCGATTGGCAGCAGTGGCTCCTTGTAATGGTACCAGAGGAAATGGATCTGGAAACTCCCAGGGCTCTCGAGGTCGCAACGAATAGTCCCTGGGTTTATAAACGTACTTGGGGCGTCTTGGTGGAGAAAAGTTTCCCTCGGACTGTGCAAAACCTACGTCACCCATGTCTACATCATTATTCGTTGTGGACTTTGGCACCTCCATAGAAGATACGTTTTTAAAGAGTTGGCTTTGTGGAGGCGATTGAGTCACTCCCAATTCTGACGTAAAAAACATAGGTTCATTACCTGACCGATATTCCGGAGGGGATCTTGGATAGCTACCCGGCATACTTGGAAGATCGTAGCTCCCAGGATGTCTGACTTCTTCGTCTAGTATAGAATTTCTTCTCTCAAATACTGTAAAAGAAGAAAAGGTTTCACTTTCAGTATCGTCATTATAGTTATTGTCTGAATTCGGATCAGAGATTAACGGTGTGTGAAAATCTACTGTGATGTTTGTATAAGAGGGGGGTGGGGGCCAGCACTTAGCGAATGTGGTAGTATCATTCAGATCTACATTGGCACCATGACATTTTTGCGAGATATATGCCTAGTCAAGGTCAGTCAATTGACATATAGCTTTTTCAGGAGTACATACATCTAAAGTTTGAGACCACTTTTTGTCGTTGACCACGTTTGAGCTCGAGTTTGTAAAAGGTTGAAAATCTACATGGGTGTTAGACATCAAATTGCAAGTAAGCTTAATGAGCAATAGGCCTACAACGGCGAGGGTGCGTATTGCCCTTGCGGCATGCAGGTCGAGAAGCAGGATCAATTTTTCTCGTGACGTCTTTAAACCATAAATTTCCTAGTGCTTTTTTGTATTTCATGTTCTTATTGCAAAGTGATTGCATGTAAAACGTTTTTCTCTTGGACCTCGATCTTATATTTGACCATTGAGATCTACGGATACGAACTTCTTGTTCTTGATCCTCCTTTGGTACCAACTTTGTGCCATTCAATCCTTGAAGTTGTACCGACTTCACGGGCAAGTCTTGAATGATTGAGAGACTAACAGATCATTAACAAGTACTCTCGCTGGAATTATGACTTGGTACCTTTGATCATATTTGGCTATAGTCTTCGGATTAGGACTTGTATGTACGAATGATCTGGAGAGTAATACGTACGAGTTATAGGCCTCTTTAAAAGACCGGAGTATTGTGTTGATACTCTGAGATTGTGCCAGCTTCCATTGTGTACCTAAATATCGACACAGATTAGTCTTTGGAAGTCCGAATCCTACCAACCTAGTCTACCGAGCTGTTGGACGGCTACCTCTTTTAGCTTTGAATCAGGTTTTCTGTAGCTCTGATCATCACTATCTCGTATCTCCGTCACCTCACCAAGCGCTGTTTGCACATCAATCGGTGAAGTTCTATGGTCAGATTGCGGCAAGAGTGCAACATTTTCTGTATGAGTGAAACCCATCGAATCCTCCGAATCAACGGATTCCAGTTCTATAAAATTATCCATGTTGTTATAAAACAACAAAGAAGATCTCAAGACCACTTTGTTTATCGCTCAAGATATTTGAAGCCTTCTATGCTTTCATGAAAATCTTCAATAAACCTCGAATTTGCGTGAGTATTGATGACACCTGAGAAAGCTGGATCGAATGGTAGTTGTCAAAATGTTCTAGAATCTGCTGGAGTGAAAACTGGGATGTCGGCAAAATCTATTCGTATGTGAGTTCCAATCAGCGGAGAGAACTTCGCGTTGAGGATCTCCTTCTAGGCCTCAAGGCAAAATCTGATGTGTAAAATCTATATGTACAATAATCAAACTGTAGAGAATAATAGTCCCATAAATACGGAGGGACTGGTGAATTTCGAAAGTACTGATGCATGGATCAAATGTATTGTTTTCTTTTAAGGCGTAAACACCCCCTAAATTGTTGCAAGATAATAAAAGCAAGGGAGATTGTTCATCTGCTCTTGCTTTTAATTCTCTACCACGAGTGCTTCTCGTGAGACAAGCCATATCAAAATGAAGGTGCCGAAAACCACCTTCCATACCGTAGGGTCGCACAATTGATTCAATCGTCAAATGACAAGGCAGGTTTGACCGGTAACGCCAAAAAGATCAACAGTCAGATCGAGATCACACGCAAATAACCATCAGGTAATATACACTGATATCTAAAATCGGACGAAAGCAGAGGAAAAATTAGAATAGCAGTTGCACAACGTGAACTTGTGAGAATCTCATCACCTTGCCACGATAGGTCCCTATCCTATCAATGACGGTAGATGTATAAGCTTCATTAATATCTTGTGATATCATTACCCAGTTCTGTCTACGCTCTTATAAGGGTACAACGAGTGACGAATTGGGCTGAAGACGGACTAAAATAAAATAAAAGATGAGAGGAATATTTGCGAAAGATTTAATCACGTGATATTTCGAGAATAATAAGTTTTTGCTTGAGTTCGTCTCGAGAACATCTTGTTTTCTGCAACAAAGATCTTGATATATTCAACCATAGATCAGAAACCCAACAATCGGGATTTTCAACTCGACCAAGAACGTACATAGTTTACGCATCTCAAATATGACTATAAAATGCCCACTCAGCAGCGGACGTCGTCAATATCGAACAAACAACGTTTGTTCAGCCCTGTATTTGGGTCTCACTGCGGTACTTTTGTCGTTACTGATTGACAACTTTCAAGGATAAAAGAAGTCTCGCACTTAGCCTTCTTTGAACAATTTCCCACTAAAAGAAGGATTACCGAACTTCTATTGCAACGAACTCGATCTTCGATCCAGATCTAGATCATGATAGAGCTCTTTGTTGACTTGCGGAACATGAGCTTTCCGAGCTTGGCATACACTCATCCCCCTCTAGATGTCCAGCTTACGAGAGTATGCAATAATTCAGAAACGCCAACGTTCGATGGTGTTACGATTGAAAATGTTTGCTGACTATAGAATAAAGAAGTCTACATGTCGTCTCCTTTTCTCTAGTAGAAAAGTCCCGCGGCTGTTATTACCATGGTGTGACTTCACGGAATAGTCCATGAGAGCTAATTGGCTGGATTTCTGCCTAGAAGGGATTTGCACATTTTCGCGGGGGTATTGAATAGCTAGTCATCAAAAGAAGATGACGGTCCTTGTGATAATCACGGAGCTTTGAAAGCAAAACGGAAAGGGGTGCGCTTCTTTAAAGAAAATGAAGTCAGCAATTATAAAGCGAGTGTGGAAACCCCAGGGCATGATGGACTGTTGCAGAAAGTATCCACTAGGATTTCACATAACAGTATGAAGATTTTCAACGCAGTAATTCTATGTCTTTTCGCTAGTATCGAGTTAGCTATTGCTGCTACCAGTACTTCTATACTTTCATCATGCACAACCCAATCCGCTACCAAATCTGTTGCCGTGCTTAAAACCATCACAACACGCAGAGGCGAATATTTCTACGCTTTCAATACTTTCTATAGACCTCCTCCAACAACGGTTACAGTTACCCTTCCCGCCAGATACACAATTACCACCACTACCCGAACAACTCCCCCTGCAGCAGTTATGGCAAGGGCCACAGACCCTGTAGTGATTGGTGTTGACGGAGGCTCGAAAAAACCTCGAAGTCTCCCCGATGATGCTTCACGCGGAATCTCTCTTCCACGAATTGTGCCTAACAGGTTCAACCTCCGATCTCTATCTCCAAGGAATATGTATCCTTACGTAGTATACTGTGTATATGAGATCAGAAGATACTCAATCACGACAGTTATGGGTGCACAACAAACCGTAACAAAGACTGTCACCCCAAAATACACAACGACGACTGTAGTTTAAACTGTAACAGTATAGCCACAGCCTTCGTTCAATCCTAGGATGCTTGCTATTTCGCAAATTATCGGACAAGATGTACTAAGTCGACCTTTCACCACTATAACAACTGCTTCTCGTCAACAGCCTTTGCGATAGGATATGTACCATGCGAACACTATGATTTATCCGTTGAACAGATACACATTACAACGTTCGTTTCAGGCGCTGATATTGTGGAGAATTTCTTTGTATGCTGTTTCAGACAGTGCCCAGTATGTCTACACCAAATAGGCACGATGGGAATTTGAGTTACGGGCTACAACCCCGGAAATCTTGGGCTTAATTTTAAAAGCAGACGCTATTTATGACACAAGAGTGAAAAGAAGAAAAGAAGTGAGAATGAATTTTGTTGGCATGAGGGTTTTTACGAAACTCTTACATAATATATTCCTCCAAAAAGTTTGGTCATGTAAAGTACAAAAGTAATATGATTTGATCACTGATGATGAGGTCTGAACCATGTTGTCTTGATCATGTAATTGCATCCACCTTGTAAATTTCGAAGCAATTCATTACGACGCTTGCAACATCAGTAGATAGGATCTATAGTTGCATCCTATCACAGTTAACCAGAGATCTGTCAAACTCCACACAAAATTCTTCGCTAAAATAAGGAGAACTCACTATGATCAGATCAGAAATAATGCTTAATCATCTCACGGTGCAACTTGTTATGATCAAACACTCACAGGTTATAAGCAGGCATAGTACAGACAAACATTTGAAATAAAATTATATCATATTGCATTAATTATTCATATATATCCGAAACCTCCTTAAACTCCCGATCCCTTTCTAAGCCACAGCCCACAGTATGCCCCTAAGACAAACGAACACCTGAATGAAAGGCTTTTAATGCTCGAAACAAACTGTGACGCTCGTTATGCATACACCTGCCGCCACAATTATCATTTCTCTATTAATTCCGACTCAAGGAAAGTGATGCCATCCCCAGGCAAATTATTAAAATCTCAACTCGAAACGAACGAATGAATAAGAGAAAGTTCATCAACGAGCGGGAAGATATTAAGTCGATTAAGCCATAGATGAAATGGAACAACCCATTTACGTTCTCGGGCTACAATCCCGAATCAATTTGATCCACCACCGTCGTATTCGTGAATGCCGCCCAATCTCTGCAAGTCTGAGCCATAATACTTGGGATTCTTAACTTTGCAATATCAGCTGGTCTTTCCAAGACACTCACGTACAAGCCGCTGCCAACATGAAATGCAATGTGGCAATGCAAAGGCCAAACACCGGGATTGTCAGCTGTGATTTGTAGTACCATATAGCCACCAGCTTGAAGAGTTTGTACATCACGACGCTGTGGGTTGGATGGTCGAACAACTGTCTGTCCGTCCCAGAGTCCAACTCCTTCATTCAACACGAACATGTTGTGGCCGTGAAGATGCATTGGATGAGAGACTGTGGTTGGGTTGGTAATGTAGATACGGATGGAACTATTGTCACCAAAGTTGTAGACGTTCCATTCGGGACTATCTGGGTATGAGTTGTTACCCTGATTGGATAGGAGAAGTATTGGCTCGTTATAGTTTGCACGGAAGGAAGAATTGTTCATCGACCATAGCCAGTTTCCAGAAGCATTTTGTCCGAATCCAATATCGATTTGTTCCGTTGTAGGCGGGTTAGGATCAGGTGTAATCGGGTACCAAGGAATCGTTTCGTTGAGAGGGTCATTTGCGCAGACATTGGCGACGGAATCAGTAAAAATGGTGGAGGCAGTAGTGGTAGAGTTTACATTAGGTTCGAGACCATAATAAACGAGTGCCTTGGCTTCAGGGTTCTTGAAAAGTGAACATCCAGCAATTGTTGATCGCATCCAGTATGATCCTGTCGTTTCAGTCGGGAGACCTTCGACGATGACATCGGTACGCTGACCAACTCCCAAAGTTATGACTTGGGTTGTGTATGGGATGATAGGAACGAAATCATTGGCAATGACAGTCATGTTGTGTCCATCGATTGCGAATTTCTGCATTCCTTCAGTGCCAGCGTTAATGAGCCTAAGTCTGTGCTTAGATCCAGCTGTGAGCTTGAAAGTAGCCGGCATGTAGTTCTCATCATTGCAGGTAGTATTATCACCGGCAGCTTTTGTAGAGCAGTCGAAGAATCCTTTCCCTTGGATAAGATTACTATCGGAACTCACAAGCTGAAGGTTGTTAGCATAGGTTCTTGTAATTCGGAGGATGAAAACCACTCACAACTCTGTTGAGGTCAGTCGACATAGAATCCTCAACTAATGAATAGTAATCTGGGTGATACCAATCGTTCAAGAGTACTGGCCCCAAATCTTATCAAAATTAGCACAATTCGTTCAATCTTCGGGCAGTTTACTTACCATAATCATATGGAACAGTTGGGGGGCCATGAATGATCATAGGACCAAATATACCAGCATTGTACTGGGCAGAGTAATGGGAATGCCACCAACTTGACCCGTACAGATCGGCCAAGAACGAATATGTGAAAGTTCCTCCAGGCGGGATCGGACATTGTTGGACTCCGGGAACACCATCAAACCATTGACTTTCTTTTTGCAGGAGTCCATGCCAATGAAGTGCTGTACCTTCTTCAGGGCCTCTGATCTCATTGTGAACAGTGACTTCGATCGTATCTCCCCAATTGGCCTCGATGAGAGGGCCGGGGAAGACGCCATTCACTAGTATCACATCTCTTTGATAACCATCTGGTGATGCTTGGCCTCTTTGAACCGTGAAATCATATCTTCTAATCACACCGGTGTGTGGTGCATCAGCTGTTGTACGATCAATGGTCAGTCATAATTCCATGAATTTGGGCCGGTGATCAACTTACTATAAGGGTTGGAATTGTTAGCAGTCCTGTTACCCCATGGAAATCCTTGAGGAAGGGGAGTTACAGGATTGCTGGTTTTCAGGAAATTAATAGGCAGGTTCGAATAATTGTTTTGAGCAGAAACGAGTGACCCAAAAAGGAGAGTGGCGAGAGAAGCTAGACCCCGCATGTTGAAGGAATGTAAGAATCAAGACCAGAGGTATTAAAGAGTGAACCTTCTATGGCAATGTTCTAATGCTGATGTGAATGCTGATGTGGAATATGAGACGGATCTGTACAGGAGGTCTTGATTTATATAGAATTACTTCACAAATCAGTCTAGTAAAGATACAAAAAAAAGTTAGTAAAGTATTGAGAAGCTACTAGGCTGATCAGCAACACTTGCATCTTGCGGGAATGAATTCATGCTATGCCTGGATGGATCAAATAGGCTTGCAGGATGCTCAATTGCATGCATTGATCTCTAGGTAGACATGGCATAGAATCATCCGAACTTGACTGAAGTTTTTAAATATAAGCTTGACGGCACATCAAGAATGTCTAAGGTTGAGGTGAGAGTATCAGTCCTGAGTTCCACATATAATCCAAATCGAAAATTGCTTCGGTACTCTGCCGTGCGAATAGTCTACACGGGAGAAGACAAAAGTTCTGAGTCTTCATGCCAATAAGTGTATAGTACAATGGCCATCGAGTCTTTTCAAACAGATGTACAGCGTCAGTTTCGTGCTTCACCGATTTATTCCCCTGCGGATTGCATGTATATCAAGATTACCAGGGGAAGTAAGAGCACTAAAAGTCGTTACTGACGATCGAATTGATGGAGCAAGTCTGTTTGATGTTCATGGGTCATGCGAACCCATGTCTTTACATATTTGTGGGGTCAAAAATGTCAATCATTGGCTTAAGACTTACGTCTTTGGCTGTCATGTAGTCTGTCAAAGGTCACTCAGAGTTCTTGGCAATACCAGTATTCAGGAGAAATTTAAATCCTTACCCCGGAATGATGCTAGATGCTCGGCAGATATTGATAAGCTTCAATGATTGATCGTGGTTCCTGCAGAGGACGTCGAAGTTCAAGCCCTAGAGTGCCATAGGACGAACAACTAGGCCTATGATAAAGCATTGAGAAAGTACGGCTTGATAACTTTTCCGTCATGGTTTTGAGATCGTGCGACGTTCAATGAGGAGCTCAGAAATCACACTTAAGGATTTGACTATGTTTATTTGCAAAGGCAGCCAGAACACGTGAAAGTACATCGATCCTGAAATAAATGTCGGAAATTGGAGAGAAATAAGAAATACCTTCCAAAACTATGCACCCAACTGCTCCTACCAGTAACTCTCCGAGTTAGACTAACTAGAGCTATCGAGATATACATTAATGACGATTGGTAGTTCAGTGGATTTAGCCACCCATTTAGCGGCTGGGCCCTGCGATCCCTTCGAGTACTCTTCGCCAAACGAAGTCGCGAAAATATGATAGTGAGACTTTACATTGAATTAGGATTCACATCCAATATACTAGCCACAAACCTATTTCTCTGTAGAAACATCGGATATGGATAACTAGTATCCGGAAGGAAGGAAAAAGAAATCATTTTTGTGAGACCAATTCTTTTTCTGGGAGATGAAGTGAATTTCGACTTCGGGTCGGGCCACTGCCGACATAAAGGAGTTGTGGCTTGCAGGAACCACGAGCGAGACTTCAAGCATATTAAAGCGGGATCGACTTCCAGGTTGAAGCCGAAGGAAGATCCTCGGCGTAGGGGATTTCCATGGCCGATGTAGTGGGTTCGTGATAATTTGAAAGGAACAAATCACATTCTTCGTTTGACATTCCCCGAATTGAAGTTCCTGAATTTACCTTGTTCCTCGCTCGTGTCTGGGTACGTAGAACCGCGGATTCAATGGTTGTCACGTTTGCTCAAGACCGCTCGCTGTATTACTTGTGTGGTACTCATGCGTTTTGTGCTTGTATACCTGTTACCCGTAACTCCTACCACCATAATGAACATATCACGACTGGCTATGTCCAGATAAAATGCCTGCTTCGTATATCTTCGCATTGCTAGTTCTTCGAGGGATGGAATGATGGATTCTAGAAAGAAGAAACCAGCCTTAAGTTC